CTGCCCATACAACAGCAAGATGCCTTTCACCTGTATGAAAAGTATGGTCACTGGTGCATGCAGCATCCCGGATTTCGAGAGGGATGTCCAACTGCCGGTTTAGGCCCAATCCCGGGCCTAAACGTGCAGTCAAGGGACCTGCCCCCTCCCCCCCCACACCTGCAGGAATTTCGTGCACCGTCCTCTAGTCTGAAAAATGATACTCTTGAAGAACCTGCTTCATGGGGCTTTTGGAATGATGGAAAAAGGTAGATTTCTTGGAATAGTAAATAAATAAACAAATGTCATTTATTATTATTGTCACTGCATCCTATCAATTCTTCTTCCTGATCTTCTGCCTGATAAACTCTTACTCATCCTTCAAAGCCTGGCTCAGATGCCATCACTGCGAAATCTCCTCCATTCTTTCCTCGCACACCCAGAACTGGTTAACGCTCCCTCATCAGAGGTCCTGCAGGGTGCTGGGCACCCAACTTCATACTGTACTTTATATTCTGGGTCGGTTTGTCTGTCTCCTCCACAGACCCTGAGCTCCTGCAAGGCATCTCAAATCCTCAGCACTTAACCTCAGTGCCAGGTCTAGGTTTGAATTCAAATAATCATCTTTCAGATGGAATTAATCCCGCCCCAGCCTTTATCACCCCAGGCCAGGAGTCTTCAGTTCATAGTGAAACTACGGAAACAGTTTCCCCACTCCAAACCAGGCTAACATTTGAGCCCAACAGGTCCCTGCTCAAAACACTTCCAGGACATAGTAGAATTGTAGGATGTGGACCCAGACCTAGGTTTTAGCTCCAGTTTTGCCACAAGCTGATGCGATCCTAACCACATTGCCTTTTCTCTCCGACTTAGCTTCTTCATCTCTAAAATGGAGGCAATCACTGCCTCCCACAGGACAGCAGAGGGGAGGGACTCCATGAAAAATTCACGTGAAATGCATCAACATTATTCAAATCTAGCTGTTACTACTTCTTTTATTTTTGAGAGGCAGTGTACGTAGGAAAAAGGAGAGTATTTGAAAAGTCTCTGTCCTGGAAGTCAAACTACATCCTGAATGGCCCTGTGATACTGAGCAAGTTTCTCTAGTTACACAAAGAAGTGAGCTCTCACCTGGGGTCATGTTTATTCACAGAAAACACTTAATGCATCCTTTTGTGAGATTAATGCCCAAGGCAAAGGGGGCATAATCTCTTCTCCACCCTTAATATTAAATACCAATATGAGAGGACCTAGGTGCAGTCCTTTACCATTTATGGAGCACTTTCATACCCATCATTGGACTGGAAAAGGGCTTTAATGGGAAGAAGTCACAGCCACATATTAACAGTGATAGTCTCTGGATTGGACGTGATTTTAATTTTATTTGTGTTTTCCTAAACTTTGAAAATCTGCACTTTTGTTGTTGGCTACAGATAATGGTTGCATAACATGATGAATGTACTGAATGCCATTGAATTCTACGTAAAGTGTACAATTTTGCTATGTGAAAACTCACCTCATTAAACAATCTTCTGCAATACCCACGCACGATTTTATAGTCATTTATTAAAATGTGGTTTGAGGCGAGAACAAAAAAGCAGTGCCATCAGCCAACAAACACTCTTCCCCAGCGGCAAGTCCAGCCTGCAGTGAGCTCCTCCGACCACCAGGGGTCTCCGCAAGCCCTTGCGTCCTCACACGCGGGCGGGCGCCTTCTCTTGCGCCCCGGGAGCGCGTGTGCGTGTCAGAGGCGTGGCAGGGTTGGCCGCTGGCCGGTGCGTCCCGCACGCAGGTTCTTGCTGGCCACTCCTGCTCGTATCTCCGGCTCCAGAATCCCCGCGTTCAGGCCGGTCCCCGTCTTTCATCTCCCCACCCCTAACCCCCTGCCGGGTGTCCGTTCCCCGCCCCGCTGGCCTCCGCCAAGGGTCCTGGCCTCAGCCTCGGCCCATGGCGCTGCAGGCGCTGCAGAGCTCGGGGGTGGCCTTCCGCAGGATCCTGTCTCACTTCCCCGAGGAGCTGAGCCTGGCTTTCGCCTATGGCTCCGGGGTGTACCGCCAGGCGGGGCCCAGTTCCAACCAGAAGGTGAGCCCGGCCCGGAGCCCGCCCCACGCCGAGCATCGGCCGGGTCGCACGAGTTTCCTTTCGCCTTTCATCCCACCCAGAGCCCTGGAGCTGCCTGTCTGCCCCGCGCCCTCCACATCTCAACCAGCCAAGTACAGACTTCGTATGAAAGTGCTCCTCGTCCCACAACGGCGTGAGCTGAGGTTTTAGGACAAGTAGGAGCCCACCTCCGTCCAGAGCAGGGGATGCAGTTATGTGGAGGGGAAAGCTGATGCAGAGGCAAGATGGTAGAAAAGAAATATTTGCCAGGTGCTGCTAGCTCGGTGTTCTGCACCTTGGCTGAAAATGCAGTTCTCAGAGAAGCTTTAAAAAAACCTGATGCCTGGGTTCCATCAGCGGAGATTCTGATTTAATGTGGGGCGGGCAGGCCCGGGCTTCAAGAATTTCAAAACCTTCCCAGGTGATTCTAATGCACAGCCGAGCTTGAGAGGGAACCTCTATGGCTGTAGGACAGCGGTTCTCAACCTTGGCTGCACATTAGAATCACCTGGGAATCTTTTTAAAATCCTGATTTCTGGGCCTCATCCTCCGGAAATTCTGTTTCTTTGTTATGGGGTGGGGCCACGACATTAGTAACAAAGAAACAGAATTTCCGGAGGATGAGGCCCAGAAATCAGGATTTTAAAAAGATTCCCAGGTGATTCTAATGTGCAGCCAAGGTTGAGAACCACTGCTGTAGGAGAAAATACAAGATGATCTTCGTGACTTCAGGAAGCGGAGGGACTGGTTGTAGGGCCAGGACAGGTGCAGTGAAGTCAGCTAAGTTAGTGGGGGACCAGTGGGTTTACCCAGGCGCAGGACATCGACCAACACTAGTTAGAATGTGGCCGGATCGCACTGCGGAGCTGGCTGAGCACAACAGCAGTGAGGGCACAGTTTTCCTAGTGACTGCAGATTTTCCTCTGAAAATAAAGTTTGCTTCCAAAGTGGAGACAAGATTCAAGACAAGCAGAAGAGGGACAGGCAGATATTTTTTCATTTAAACGAAGCTGTTTAAACGAAGCTTTCTATCTGGGCTTTAGAGCGTTTGCTGAATTAATGTAAAAGGAACAAAAGTCCAAGTAGAGTTGTCTTCTGTGTGTGCAACTGTTCTGAACTGTATTGCTATTTGCTCTAGTTCTTACACAGCCCAACAGTTCACTGTCATTTTCAATAAACTAAGGAAATGGAAGTGTGCAGATTGCCATAGAGTCTTCTCGATTTGGATACCTGGCTGTAATCTGTCTGGCCATCTATAGTGTTGCTTGGATTTGGTGTCTTCTACGTATACAAGTTTTTGTTGTTTTAATCCTCACTGGAGGATATGTTTATTGATTTTTAAAGAGAGAGGAAGAGGGAGGGAGGGGAGAAAGAGAGAAACATCAATTATTTGCCTCCTGAACACCCCAGACTGGGGAGAACCTGTAACCTAGGTATATGTGCCCTGACTTGGAATCCTGCAACCTTTTGGTGTATGGAACGATGCTCCAACCAGCTGAGCCACACCAGCCAAGGCTATACTAGTTTTTAATACTTTTTAAAAAACTGACAGCATATGAGAAATTATAGATTATACATGTATAAATTATAGGTTATAGGTAGTTATTTTTTTAAAACATTAACATAATTATACAATTTTAAAAAACATGTCCACCTGAAATCTTAAGTATCCAGTTTTTTGTGGATGACATGATGGGAAATCCAGAGCAGGCCTTAGCCTCCTGATTCTGTAGCCACCTCTTCATTTTTCCATGAAGATTTTCCTTTGAGCAGATGAAGAATTCCCTCCAAGAGAAAGTCCTTCCTTTGCTTTCCCTCACTTTCATTTCCTACAGTTAACAAGTCTTGCAGGCTCCAACACCTAAGTCTCTGCCTGATCAGTCTCTATGCCCTTCATTGCCTTAGTGTCTTTTCTTTCCTCACCTGGAATCTTGCAGTTGGCCTCCAATGTGGTTTCCCAGCCTGTATTTTCTCCTCCCTCCAGTAGGCTCTTCTGCAAGAGAATTTCTTACTATGGCATCCAGCCTGTCTGTCTTGTCTCATCTCCCACCACTCCCCTGCCTGCACTCTGTTCCAGCCATCGCGAACTCAACGCCGCACACAGAACATGCCCAGTTCTCATATCTACAGAGCGTTTTCCTCCAACAGGACTCCCTTTCCCTGTGCTTTTCCTGCTACTTCCACCAGGCCTGCTTTTTAAGTCTTGCACATTCTTCAAGACTCAGACTATCAGTCTTGAAAAATGTAATTTTATAGGGAGGTTTCTCCTTCCTGTTGACCCAGTTTTGAGTGAAATGAGTACATTTTGCATCCTTCTATCAAATCCATCTCCTGATGATTTGTCTGTTTCCTCAGTAGTCTTTGAGCTCTGTACTACTACCTCCTGATCTATCAGAGCTCATTGTAGGTCCTCAGTGAGTGGTTGGCACATGGGTGAGAGTTAACATTTCCCTTTACATAATACTGTATAGAGCTTATCCATGGGTTATTTCATCTGGAAGAAAAGTGGAGCATGTTCAGCAACATTTAGATGAAAGGCAGTGTAGAAGAGTGGCTCAGCACACAGAATTTGGAACCAGATTATATCTGCTGCTCGCCAGCTGTGTGTCCTTGGGCAAGGAACTTAGTCTGTGCCTTGTGGTTTTCTTCCAAAAAATTGGGATAGTAACAGTGCCTACCTTGTATGATTTGTTTTGAGGATAAAACGAGTCACTGTGTGTGTGTGTGTGTATGTGTGTGTGTGTGTGTATACACATATATAATATATAAAGTGTTTAGAAGAGTGTTGGTATGACAGTAAATGTTAAATAAACATTGTTGTAATGTGTATTGATGAAAACAGCTCACATTGGTTCCAGAGACTTGCTTAAATTTCTCTTGAAAATCCCAGGTCTTTTATTAATCATAATGGCAGAAAATTTTAGAACTTTCCACTATTATCTGGGTGCCTTTCCAGGAATTAAAATTAAAATCATTCTCTTTTCTTCACCTCCCAGAAAGCCATGCTGGACTTTGTGTTCACAGTAGATGACCCTGTTGCATGGCATTCAAAGAACCTGAAGAAAAATTGGAGCCATTACTCTTTCCTAAAAGTTTTGGGGCCCAAGATTATCAGCTCTATCCAGAATAACTATGGTGCTGGAGTTTACTACAATCCATTGATCGTGTGTGACAGTAAGGTAAGTGACTTTGGCCTTTGTCTTCTCTTGGGTTGTTATTAACCTTTGTTGTTAGAATACTAGCTAAATAGGTATGTTCTTGCAGTCAGGAAATGTTCCAGCTCCTGCTAGATGAAGGTGGTCAAGTGTGACTGGCTTTATTTTTTGCCTTTGGCCAAGTGGTTCTCATATATTAATGTGCATCGGAATTCCCTAGAGTGCCTGTTAGACACAGATTGCTGGGCCCCACCCCAGAGTTCCTGATTCAGTAAGTCTGGGGTAGAGTTTGAGGCTTTGCTTTTTTTTTTTTTTTTTTGGTAAATTGAGATATAATTGTCATATAACATTGTATTAATTTTAGGTGTACAACAGGGATATATGTACATATTATGAAATGATCACCATACGTTTAGTTAGTATCCATACCCACACATAGTTACATTTTCTTTTTCTTGTGATGAGAACTTTAAAGATTTATTCTCTAACAAGCTTCTTGCTGGTCTGAAAAACACACTTTGAGAACCAATGGTTTAGTCAGTGGCTCATTAAGGACCAGAGTGGAAATTAATCTTATCTATATGGAAGGACTGACATTCTTCCAGGAAGAGTTTGCAAGTGAAGAGGATATTATAGGTATTTAGGAGCATGTGGTGCCAAGTAGTAGGAACCTCTTGGTGCCAGCAGGTGGGTGGAGCTTGATGAATTGTTGGAGAGCAGGTAAGATGCCCGGATCCCGGCAGAGGGTTGTCTGGTAGCGGGAACCCTGCTGGACTGTCTTTCATATGAAGGAGCCCAATCTCTAGGAGGGCTGCCAAGAACTAGGCAGGATCCCAACTTAAGAAGACCACCGGGTACTAAATCCAGTCTCCTAGAGTTAAGCTGGGCTAAGGATGACATACGGGTTCCACCAGCTGTGCCAACTCTGCTCAATGCTGCTGATTGCTTAGAGCAGTCATACTTTGATGTGCAGTCACCTGAAGATCTTGTTGAATGCAGATCCTGATTCAGTTGGTCTGGAATGGAGCCTCAGATTCTGTAATTTTGTCAAGCTCCCAGGTGATGCTGATGTTATTGGTCAGTGGGCCACACTTTGAAGGCCAGGAGGGTGAGTACTGACTGAGCAAGATTTTGAAGACCTGTCTGAACTAGGCAGGAAGCTGTGCTGTGATTATTGGTGATGTCTGCATAACCGTTGGGCCCTGAATTTACCTTTTTGGTTGAGGGCCAATCCTGCTCCACCTGCACTTTGCAGATGAAAAAAAAACAGGGTTCATGGAGAAAATAACTTCCATAAGCTCAGGCAACTAGGCAGTGACAGGCCCTGACTTCCAGGCCAGTGGTGGTTCTATTACCTCCAAGCTTTTGCATGCCTACAGCAAGAAGGCTCCCTGCAAGACTGAGGCTAGAGTGGAGGGAAGGTTATTCAGCACAGCCTTCTGTGTGCACTTTAGTCATGCCAAGCGCGTAGCTTTGTTCTTTGCCCATAATGAATATTATGCTGAGCCTATCTCTAATTAGTAGTTTCAAACAATATTAAAAGGTCCAGTAACCAAATATTTGGGCATAATTATATGCCAAAGGGACTGTACTTTTTAATTAAATTTCTTTAGCTACTTCTTAGGTATTTGTAGCCTGAGAAGGCCATTGGGATACTGAAGTTCAACAGAATGCGGCCAGAGGTATTTGTTGAAACAAATGGGATTTTGTAACCTGGAACAACTGCATTCAGAGTTTGTACAAATTACTGTTGCATGAGCTTGACCATAATTCCATGTTCAGCACTGATAGATGTTGCTTTGTAATTATAAGTGTTTAGAATAGTCCATAGTGAAAGAGAAATTTACCATGTAATGGATGCCAGTAAAAACTTTTAATTATAAACAAAACTTCTTGTACTTTGTGGTAAAATGAACGTTGGAAGCCCAGACTAAAATTCAGGGACCTAGTTTTGTCTCTGCTACTAATGGTGCCACCTTGGGCTTGTCATTTATTCTCTCTGAGCCTCAGGTTTCTTATTTCTCAAGGGAGAAGCATGAAATATATTATAGCTACTCAAACTATCTGTGCTGAAGGACCAATTTTTTATTTCCAGCTCATTGAGGACCAGTACTAGATAGCCTCTAAGTGCCATTCTGCCTTTTAACATCACAAGAGTCTGAGTTAAAATAGTGGCCATGTCATCTCATATACCTGAGGGGACAAATCAGTCTTGGAAACGTATCCTTTGCAAATATTTTTGGTAGAGATGGGTACTTTACAAAGTAGGCATTTTGAGTGGCTTTGGAAATCAAGGTACTACTCTGGGCAGAAATGTATTTCTTTATATTTTTCATTTGCATAAACAGCAATACGGTCTTTTGCTTCTTTTCATGCCCATTTCTTTTCTTTTCCAGCTTATCAAATATGGGGTTATTAGCACTAGTATTTTGATTGAAGATCTCCTCAACTGGAATACCTTATACATTGCTGGACGACTCCAAAAACCAGTGAGTGTTTTATTGGCTGCCACAATTAGGGACACCTCTCCTCTCTGAACCTGACCTTACTTTGATCTTTGATTGCAATGAGATGGAACTCCAGGAAATAGAATTAAGTTTCAGACTCCTTTTCCTCTCTAAGAATTCATTGCCAAACAATGTCTAGATATTATCCACATTACTCCTGCCCTCTCTCTGTAGATTCTTCAATTGTCTGGATGGATCAGGCACAAAGTTAGTCCTTTTGGGCTGGAGAGAATGGCAGAAGAAATGCCCAGTGCTTCAGTGGAGCCTCTGTCAGTTTGACCCAAATCACCTTATCTTCTAGAATGTGTCATGGGGCATTGTTTGTCCACTGACATATCCCAGCAGTACCTGGTACAGTGCCTGTCACATAGTAATCATTCAGCAAATGTTTGTTGAAGAAATGAATGAACCAGGTAGTTATGCTGAGGGGAGTGGATTCTAATCCCCTTTATTATCTTCCTCAGGCCAATGGTGAGATAGTGTGGTAGGGTCCTTCCTTAATTGGGGATACTGCTAGAGGAGGCTGTAGAGGGTAATGTCCCCCTGGGCTTCAAAAGAAACAGAAAATAAACAAAACAGGAAAAGAGTGGAGAGGACTTGAACTTTTAACTTCTATTTGAAAATGTCATGTTTCTCCTTCATGCAGATATATAGTCTATTTTCTGAGAAAAGGTCTTTTCATAGTTTGAGAACTAGGTGACATAGTCACAGTTGCCAATCTCACAGCAAGGAAAAATTTTCCTTGTGCTGTCAGAGGGTCTCAGGCCCTAAAAGACAGTACATGGATTGTTGTTAAATGTCTCCCATAAGAGTGATTATGCTGCTTCTCCTTTTGTCAATTATGGCAAAAAGTTAGAGATTTATACAATTTTAGCTTACTTGGTTGTGTCATACAAATCGCTATTGATATACATGGCAGTCAAGATTCTCTGGCCTTGCAACTGGGTTTACAATTTAAATGTTTGTGGAATTGTGCACATAAAACATATGTAATTTTTTAAATCAGTGTCACACCAATAAATTCAATAAAAAGGAAAATAAATAAAATTCCATGTAGAAAAACAAATTTAAGGGTGTAGCTCATTAAAATGTCCAGAAACTTTGATAAAGGCAATAGTTCATTGATATATCCATATGTAAAAATTTGTCAGGCTGTATCTGTTAGACTTGTATACTTTATGTAATTTTTCAGTAAGAACATTATTTTTAAAGTTCAGAAACAATAGGCTTACCTAATTAATTTCATATCAATATAGATGAATTTCTCATTTCTAGGCTAGATAACTAGTAAAGCACATAATTAAGCAAAAAAAAATGCAGTTGAAAATTTATAAATATTAATTTTCTTTCCAGGTTTTTTAATTTACAAAATATGTTGCTTGACAGGAAGAAAAATGAATGTGGAATGAAAAGCTTAGGTCTTATTCATTCCTGCCACTTGTTAGCTATTTATGTGAACATGGGCAACTTGTTTTATCTTTCTGAACCTCTAATAATTTATCTGTAGAATGGGGACAACAATATTTGCCCTGTCTACTTCAAGAAGGTGTTGAAAAGTGGAAGCAGAATAGAAATACTAGAAAAGAACCAGACATTTTAGAATCAGACACATCTGTTGGGTCCCAACTCTGATATTCCCAGCTATGTGACCCTGTACCAGTGCCTTAATCTCTCTGAGCCTTGAAACATCGTCATCTATGGATAAGGCTGATCACACTTCAAAAGACATTTGAGAAATGCCTAGATCTAAAATGGCTGGCACTTAGTAGACACTCAGGAAAAAATCTTTCATTTCCCATTGTTCTTGCCCATCTCAGAGTTATTTTTAGATAAAATGAGATATTGAATGTGAAATTGTTATTCTCTGTACTGTGTTTTGTGCTTGAAATATTTCAATTAAAAAAAAATAGACATTAGGGCCCTACGGATGAGGCTCAGTGGTTGAGCGTCAACCTATGAACCAGGAGGTCGTGGTTTGATTCCTGGTCACGGCACATGGCTGGGTTGTGGGCTCGATCCCTGGTAGGGGGCATGCAGGATGCAGCTAATCAATTATTGTCTCTCATCATTGATGTTTCTTTCTCTCTCTCTCTCTCTCTCTCTCTCTCTTTCTCTCTGAAATCAATAAAAAATATACATATATTTTTATATTATTTATTTTTAAATATTTTTATTGATTTCAGAGAGAGAAGGAGAGGGAGAGGGAGAGAGAGAGAGAGAGAGAAAGAAAAATGATGAGAGAAATTCATTGATGGTTGCCTCCTGCACGCCCCCTACTGGGAATCGAGCCCATAACCCGGGCATGTGCCCTTGACTGGAATCAAACCTGGGATCTTTCAGTCCCCAGGCCAACGCTCTGTCCACTGAGCCAAACCAGTTAGCAAATACTAGTATATATATATATTTTTTAAATTGACATTAGAAAGCTAAAAATGCCACAAAAATCCTAGAATGTAAGCACTGACTGGAAATGACCTCAGATTTTTATCTAAATGCCATATATCCTGGTAATATAAAAACAACAATTTAAGACAAGTAGTAGCAGCTACATTTATATCATGCAAAATGGCATTTCTCAGCTAACTTGGAGAAGAAAATGTTATTGATAACAATGACTATGTGACCTCAGGCTTATTAAGCTTCTAGCAAAAGAAAATCAGGATATCTTTTAAAATCATTTGAAAGTGTTGGCTATAACACATGTTAAAAAAAAAATCATAAGTGGGTGAATTAACTCTTCCACCCACTCCTGCTCTTAGTTTCCCTCTAGTGGAACTCCCTGTTAACCATTCTCAAGACGACTGTCTTTAAACAAACTATTTTTACCTCTAGGTGGCAGCAAATATTAATCAAATGAACAAATCTGATGGAAAGAAAGAGTTGGTAGTATTTTAATAAAAAGAATGGGTAAATGTCCTAGGAAAGAATTGTGAGGATATGAGTGTGAATTCTTTGTTTTTATGTGTTTTAAAAGAAGGAGTTACATTTAATCACATTGTCTAAAGCTCTAAAATTATCTTCGGTATCGCTACTAGAATAGAATCTCTCAATCACTAGCAATTTAAGTGTTTAAAATATACAGGGGGTATAGGTACTTGCTGTAATTTCCATTTTTAAAAAATATGTTTTTATTGATTTTTTTTAAGAGAGAGAGGAAGGGAGAGGGATAGAGAGAGGGAAACATTGATGAGAGAGGAACATCATCAATCCGCTGCCTCCTGCACGGCTCCTATTGGGGATAGAGCTAGAAATCTGGGCATGTGCCCGGACTGGTAATCGAATGAGCATCCTCTTGGTTACTGGCCGGGTTACTTCCCATTTAATTTTGCTGTGAATTTAAACTGCTCTAAAAAATAAATTTTATTAATAAAAAAAGAGAAATATAAAGGAGTACCTTTCTTTAGACAATGGACATTTCCCTCCGTGGCCAGTGTGGTTCAGTTGGTTGGACACGTCCCCATGCACTGAATGGTTGCCAGAAGGATTCCTGGTCAGAGGCCCCTGTTGGGGGCTCTGGGCTTGATCACTGGTGGAGGTTGTGCAGGAGGCAGCTGATCAATGATTCGCTCTCATTATTGATGTTTCTCTCTCTCCCTCTCCCTTCCCCTCTGGAAAAAAAAATATATATATATACACACACACATACACATACATACATACAGACATATATACATACATACACATATATATAAAATAAAATGTGCAATTCAGTGGTTTTTAGTATATAAACAATTTTGCAACCATCATCGTATTGTAGCTATTGACTTACTTTTTGTGGATAGAAAAATCCCAGAAGTATAAAAGATCCCTCAATGAAGATGGAAAACTTGGCTCACTAGCCTTGGCTCTGCCCAGCTGTGAGCAAATCTTTGGGCCTCTAGCCTTTAAAATGCAAAGTTTGAGCCATTCATTTCCTTATTTAACAGACAACTAAGTTTCTTCTCTGTGTATGCCAAAGGAATTTTTTTTTTAAAAGCACCACACTCTTATTTTGGAAGAGTCAGTAGTCCAACAGGTAATTAATAAGGTTTCATCCAGCTCAAATGTTCAGTGTTTCTTTTTGGTCCTCAGGCAGTAACCATTTAGAAAAATTAACCTTTCTGGCCATTTGGAATGGAAAACTTCCATGGGAAGGGTCATTTGGTTAGTGGTTGGGTATTTGAACACTAGATAGGGCTGTGTTCTTTGTGACTATAACTTCACTGTTTGCAATTCAAGTACTGTCTCCATGTGACTGTATTATAGAGGAGACCACTTGTGACTTTCCCTTTTTTTCTATCATGAAAGGTACTCACAAATCTCTCGAGTTGGGCTTTTGAAAGTCCCTTCAAGTGTTGCCCCTTCCTCTCTCCAGTAAAGATTTTCTTCTTGGCAGTCGTGCTAATGCTATCTATGCGGTTCAGATGCGGGCATTTCCAGTAAGATACAAACAGCTATTCACAAATCTGAGGGCTTTCTTTTTTTCCCAGGCCTCTCTGGCAGTGTCCCAAGAGTTCACTGGCTTTTCACTCTGAACAACAAATAACAGTGCTGCTGAGACAAGTTCCTAGTTCACCTTACACTGGAGAACCAGATCAGCACAGTAGCAGAGTCTTCTGAATTGACATTTTTCCTTTGAGTAAGGATGCTTTTATTTACACTCTCTTAACCTTAAATAGCAAACAGACTGCTTTTTTATACCTAACTAGAACACCTTTCTTGGAGAATAAGTGGTATCACGTTGAATAGAATAATTTCCTCACACTTACTCATTTCTTTGCAACTTTGATTTGTTAGCATCTCAAAATAGCTTCTGTTTTCATGGAGTTTCTGTAAAAGCTACCAGAAAAAGATAGGGTGAAGCATTATTGAGCGGTCCTGGTAAATGAGGAATAAGAATTTGGAAGTGAGGCTTTACAGAGTTTTGGAAAGAGCTCTGAATGAATCAGGGACCCAGATCCTCATTTGTGTGCCACTGCTTCTCATGGAGAAATCTTTTAATCCTCTGGGCCTTGGCTTCCCCATGAGTAAGATGAGGAGGTTACCTTCCTACATCCATGGTTCTATATGGAATAAAAAGTTTAGGAAAGTTATTCAAGACATAACCATGTTATTGTTAGTTATTAATAGGACCTTAACATTTGTTTTAATAACCTTTAAAGAAAAGAAATTAACCAGAGCAGATCCCTAACTGAATGCATGAGAATAATTCAAAATATTTAGAGTTGGATTTGCCAAGCATAAGGGTGTTACCCTGATTTTGCCATCAACTCATTATGCAACCTTGGGCAAGTCCTGCTGCTGGGCTGCTCCTTGGTTTTACTTTTCTGCAGATGATTGCAATAATATTAAACTCACCCAAGTGCCGAAAGGCTTAATTAAGGGCTATTAAGTCCTTGTAATTACAAGGGAGGAGGTAGTAGTATTTAGAATAGAGTGGCTTACCTAACATATGAGAGGTTTTTATGTTATAAATGTTCCATTAGGAAAAAAGAAAGTAAAAGATAGAAGTTAGGTTTTTAAGTCTGATTTGTAAAATAGTTATTTTTTATGATTAAATTTTAAAAATATATTATACTTTGAGATACACATCAGTCTCTTTCCTTGCTGTCTTAATAAAATTTTAATTTGGAGTTTCTTATATGTATGTGTCTTTTATGACCATCTTAATTTTGTCAAAAATTATCTCTATTCAACAAATAAAAGGCAACTTAAGCCATGTCTTCTAGAATAGGAGGAAAATTTGCTGCCAGCAGTAAATGGTTTAGAGATGGTGGATACATTTGAGATATGTGGACTTCTAGACCCTTTCCTTATTTAGAAAATCATTCAGAAGGAGCATGATGGTTTTAAAAAATTGTGGCAGGAGTATAAATTGGTATAATTTGGCAATTCTACTTCTAAGTATATACCTTACAGCAGTGGTTCTCAAAATGTGATTCCTGGACCGGCAGCACCAACATTACCTGGGAACTTATTAGAAATGTACATTTTCAGGCCTCATCCAGGCCGACCGAATCAGAAACTCTGGAGGATGGGCCTAATATGCTTTAACAAGCCCTTTAAGTGATTCTAGTACTTGCTGAAGGTGAGAACCTCTGGCCCAGAGGAACTCCTGCAGTATGCACCAAGAAGCACGTAAGGAAGCTCACTTTTGCTAAGGGTTCATATGTAATATCTCATTTAATCTTCCCAACAACCTTATGTGCTTGATTCTGTTATTAACCCCATTTTAAGGAATTATACCCATAGTCACAGAGCTAGTAAGAGATAGAACTGTGATTGAACACATTCTCTTAACTTCAGTGCAGTCTTTAAAACCTAGGTTCTCAGAATAGACTAAAGCAATTTATATTTTCGTGAATTTGGGGAAAGTCAAAGACAGTAGCTTCTGCTATGTATTCAGAAGAAAATTTTGTTTTATTAATCAAGGCATTCACTAGTACAGGGGTCCTCAAACTACGGCCCGCGGGCCACATGCAAATACAAATATTGTATTTGTTCCTGTTTTGTTTTTTTACTTCAAAATAAGGTATGTGCAGTGTGCATAGGAATTTGTTCATAGTTTTTTTTTTTAAACTATAGTCCGGCCCTCCAACGGTCTGAGGGACAGTGAACTGGCCCCCTGTTTAAAAAGTTTGAGGACTCCTGCACTAGTACATTAGGCAGTTTACATTTATTATCTCATTTGATCTTTGTAACAATTCTGTGACGCATGTCTGTAATCCCCATTTTATAGATGAGAAGTTAAGTAATTTGCCCACAGCTAATAAATACCTGGACTTGAGGCCTTACCTATACCCAAAACGCATGCTCTTTCTATAGTAGCTATTTTTTTTCTTTTTCCTTAGTCAAAATCAGATTGAAATAGAGCATGAGCTACACACGTTATGCATGGATAACAGAAGAGCTGAGTTTTAAATAAAGGAGTAAAATTTTGCCTTTGTCTACCATAAAATTAAGTGAAGAACAATGAGATTATAAAATAAATGTTACATTTCCCAAAGGACATTTATTTCATTTCTACTGACTTCTTTTTCAAAACCCATCTAAGATAAATATTTATTTTGGAGTGTGTTTTTTTCCCCCCCTGTGTCATGATTTCTCTGATTTTGGCACAAAACAAGAGGTTCTGGGATTGCTTATTATAATAATAATTATTTTGTATCAACTGACCTAATATTCCAAGATCTTCAGGGCTAAGTTTGGGCCAATTCCATTGCATGCATAACCCTTTACCTTGAGCAATACTCTTCTGGAATTTTTCTTCTGAATGTTTTGCTTTTTTCAGGTGAAAATCATAGCAATGAATGAGAATGTGGCTCTTAGGGCAGCCCTAGATAAAAATCTGAAGAGTGCTGTGACTGCTGCTTTCCTCATGCTTCCCGAAAGCTTTTCTGAAGAAGACCTCTTTATAATGATTGCTGGACTCTCCTATTCAGGTCAGTAGGTTTGGTGTCCATATTTTCTACAAGAAGATTCGTTTGAAGACCGTGCAAACAGCGCTCCTCACTCTACACTGGAGCTGCAGCAACCTTAGTTCTGAATCCCTTTACTTCCTGTGTAAAAATCCAGTGATTTGCCTCCTTACCTCCACAGTCTCTTCCTTTCCACATCTGTACATAAATTACCCCAGGGCAATCTTTTTGTTGTTGTTATTGTTAATTTTTATTTTGAAACAATTGCAAACATACAGAAAAATTTCAATAATAGTACAGAAATCCCATATACCTCTCCCCAGATTTACCAATTTTTACATTTCACTACATTTGTTTTATCATCCTCTCTGTATCAGTGGGTTTCAAACTTTAGTGTGCAATCCTCTGGAGGGCTTGTTAAAATAGACTGCTGGGCCCACTCCCAGACAGCTGATTTTAGTAGGTCTGGGGTGGGGCCCAAGAATTTGTATTTCTAGCAAGTTCCTGGGTAATGCTAATGCTCCTTCAGGGGTCCCACTTTGAGAACCACTGCTCTCTCTGTATATGTAAATACAATGTATTATGTGTTGTTGTTTTTAGTTATTTGAGAGTATGTTACCTATCATGTTCCCTTTAGGCTAAGTCTTCAAAATGTGTTTCCAAAGTACAAGGACATTCTCTTACATAACCCCAGTACAGGTCTCTTCCTTTTTTTTTTCCCATTGCTTTCAGAGAGGAAGGGAGAGGGAGAGAGATAGAAACATTAATGATGAGAGAGAACCATCGATTGGCTGCCTCCTGTAGACACCACACTGGATCGAGCCCAAAACTCCAGCATGGGCTCTGATCGGGAATTGAACCGTGACCTCTTGGTTCATAGGTCAACGCTCAACCACTGAGTCATGCCGGCCAGGCCAGTTTTCAAATTCAGGAAATTAACACTGACTCAGTACTTTTATCAAACTGACGATCCATATTCCAAGTGTCATTAGTTGTCCCAATAATCTACACTAATAAAAGAGAAACATGGTAATTGGCGTACGACCGCTACCCTTTTCATTGGCTAATCAGTGAGTATATGCAAATTAACTGTCAGCCAAGATGGCAGCCGGCAGCCAGGCACTGAAGCGAGCAGGGAGGCTTGCTTGCTGCAGACTCCAACGTTCACCGCCTCACTTGCCGGCCTCTCAGTTGCAACTCTAAGCAACTATATACTATGTTGCAAATAAGAAGCTAAACAAAACCCCAGAAAAGGGCTTCCATTCAGCCGGGCTCGGACCGCAACATTGTATCTATGTTTTCAGCAGCGAGGCCCCAGAGCTAAAGCTGGCCCAAAAAAAAAAAAAAAAAAAGAGAAGAAAACAAGGAGCGGTTGGAAGCTTTAGTCACTCGCCAGCCGGAAAACAGCCCTCAGCCCCTCACCCAGACTGGCCAGGCACCCCAGTGGGGACCCCCACCCTGATCCAGGACACCCTTCAGGGCAAACCAGCCAGCCCCTACCCATGCACCAGGCCTCTATCCTATATAGTAAAAGGGTAATATGCCTCCCAGCACCGGGATCAGCGGAGCAGCGAGGCTCCCGGCACCGGGATCAGCATGACAGGGGGCAGCGCCCAAACCCCCTGATCGCCCTGCGGCTCTGTGTGTGACAGGGGGCGGGGCCACAACCTCCCTATCCGCCCTACTCTGTTCGTGACAGGGGAAGGCACCCCAACCCCCTGATCAGCCCTCCTCTGTGCCTGATAGGGGGGAGCTCCCCAATCCCCTGATTGCCCTGCGCCTCTG